ACCACTAAGCCACAAGGCTGAGCCACGGGCATTCCAGTTTTGCCACATCCTCACCACACTTGTTATTTTCTGTTTTGTTGGTTATAGCTATCATTAAGGGTGTGAAGTGGCATCTCTAGGATTGGATTTGTGTTTTTCTAGTGATTAGTGATGTTGAGCTGTGTGCTTTTGGCCTTTGTATATCTTCTTGGGAGAAATGTATTTCACCCTTTTATTTGTTTATTTAATTTTCGAGGTTTTTGTCATAGGGTATGTGCACTTGCCAGAGAGAGACAGTGAGAAGGAAAGTGAGAAATCATCCCCCAAGGGATGGGGACCAGCAGGTGGCATGGTAGTTAAGGCGTTGGACATTCCCACATGGCCGACCATGGTTTAAGTCCTGGACCTGGTGGCTTGGTTCTCACTTTCTCCCTGTGTCTCTCTCTGGTCTAAATAAGTGAATGAATGAATGAATGAATGAGTGAATGAATGAATGAATAAAAAGTAAGTGAATAATAAAATTAAAAATAAGTAATTCTTTAAATAAACAAAAAACAAATCATCCCCCAGGGGACATGACTGTGCCACAGTCTCTTCTCTTGGAATTTTGGTTATACATGCACACGTGCCTGGTGTGATTTTCAAGCTGCTGGGTCTGGGACTCAAATCATGGTGGGCCATATGGGAGTCCACTGACTTAACCACCACGCCCCCTACTGGCCTCATTTTGCCCATTTTTTAAACAAGATTTTCTTACAGCGTTGTGATAGTTCTTCACGTAGTCTCTATATTAACCATTTAGCAAACAGGTGCTTTGCAAATATTTTCTTCCATTTTATGGGTTGTCTTTTTACTTTGATGTTAGTGTCCTTTGGTGTACAAAAATGTTTATTTTGGATGTAGTTCCATTTTCAGTTTTTCTTTTTTCACCTCTATTCCTGGTGTCACATGTAAGAAATCTTTGCCAAATCCAGTGTCATGAGGATTTTCTCCTGTGTTTTCTGTTAAGAAAGTTTTAGTGTCATATCTTGGTCTTTGATCAGTTTTTTTTCTTTTTTTAACCCCACTCCAGGTCTTTGATCAATTTCGAATTAATTTTTGTTTACAGTATAAGATAAAGGTCTGATTTCACTCTTTTGCATATAGCTCTGTCTGGATCTTTTAAGAGAATTGTTAGTTTTTGTAGGTTAATAATATAGTATTATGACTATATTAAGGCTTTTTTTGATTTGGAGTTGTAGAAGTTTACTCAAAAGTGATACAGTGGTTGGAAATAAATGGGTGGATATATAGGGGGAACAATATTTTATAATGTATTAGAGGATTTCCAAAGTAAAAAGGTAAAAAGAGTTCATAAACCAGGAGAATACTATTTTAAAAATCTAGACATTGGGGACCAGCAAGTGGCATAGTGGTTAAGGCACTGGACTCCCACATGGTTGACTGCAGTTCTATGCGGTTCTAGTTCTGGACCTGGAGGCTTGAATCTCATGCCAGGCGCATGTGTGTGCATGCCCAAGATCCTGAGAGGAGAATGGAGGAGAAGGGATTATGGCGTGGCCATCCCCCCTGCGGAGTGATTTCTTGCTTTCTGTCTCTATGTCTCTCTGTCTTTCTGGTGAGCGCATGTGCCCTATAGCAAAAACCTCTCCAAAAAATAAGTAAGTAAATAAACCTAGACACTAAGTTTCTACAAATAGCAGACAACTTTGTCATATACTATAGAAAAGTCAACTGGAATGAAGACTGAAAAGTTGCCATTGATTTTGATAGTATTTTCATGACTTTTTTCCTCAGCATTGTTAGTGGAATATTTAGACTAAAACTCATAGCAGAATTGTTTTTTAAAGATTTATTTATTTATTCATTCATTCCTTCATTTTAATTTGACCAGAGAGAGACACAGCGAGTGAGAGAGAGAGGGAAGTGAGAAAGCAAGCCACTAAGTCCAGGACTTGAACTGTGGTCAGCCATGTGGGAGTGTCCAGCACCTTAACCACCACGCCACCTGCTGGTCCCAACTCATAGCAGAATTTTGAGATATCTTGGAAGATAAGAACATGGAGAAGGCTGGATGTGATCATTCTTTTAAAAACATTTTACTTAATTTATTATCATTGCTTTCTTTTAAAATTACTTATGTAATTTTATTTATTCATTTATTTCTTTTAATTTGACCAGAGAGAGAGAAAGTTAAGAAACAAGCCACCAGGTCTTGGATTCCAACCGTTGTCAGTCATGTTGGGGTGTCCAGCTCCTTAACTACCATGCCACCTGCTGGCCCCGCTATCATCACTTTTTAATTTGAGAGAGAGAGCCAGAGAAAGCCACCAGGTCCAGGACTCAAGCTGCAGTCAGCCACGTGGGAGTCTAGTGCCTTCACCACGACACCACCTGCTGGCCCCAGTCATTTCTTTAAGAGGTTTTTTTGCTATTTGGCATGTGTGTTTGCCTGAGAGACAGAAAGCTAGAAATCAAATCCCCCAGGGGATATAGCCACGTCATAATCCCTTCTCCATTCTCTTCTCAGGATTTTGGGCACACACATACATGCACCCGGTGTGAGTTTTAAGCTGCCAGGGCTGGGACTCAAACCACAGTCAACTACATGGGAGTCCAGTGATAAAACCATTAGGTCATCTGCTATTTCTCCAATCATTCTTAATATTAAGAGAAATTGTTTCATTAAAAGAGATAAGGTTACTAGAAAAATGAAAGTATAAAGTGACACACGAAAGATCTTGCTACTTCTCTTTGTCCCACCTTCCCGTTTTGGTCTGCAGTGAGTGGAATAGCAGCCTGCATGGGAGAGATGGGGAGGGAGACCCACGGGTGCTGTTGCTTGAGAACAGCTAAAAAAAGGAAAGAGGAGCATGTTTGTAGAACTGAGGAGGACTAAAGGAACAATACCCAAAGGAAGTAGGCTTCCGTAGCCCCCTGGGGAAAGGAACAGAGGCTACCTTCTCTGAGACAGCAGGAAAGGAGGTGACTTCTTTTTTTTTTCTCAAGTAGAGCTGAGGGTGACTGAGGTTTGGATAGAGTTGGTGGCATCTAGTGTTAGTAATGTTTGGTGTAACCACAGGAATGAGCAAAAGAATGACAGGAATGGAGGGCCCCCCCAGATCCCAGTCTAGCTCTAGATGACCTTTTCATTGAGGAATGTCATTGTCCAGGAAGATGTGCCCCCTCCCTGCATGCCAGGGATGACTCAGTTCTTCAGCTTCCTGGCTAAATAAAGGAGGTGTTTCTTCCTTCCCCACTCTGTTTTCCTGGCTAAAGGAGGTGTTTCTTCCTTCCCCACTCTGTGGGTACACTTAGGAAAACTATTCATTTGCTTTTAAAACGCATCTCAAGTGGAACTGTGCTTTGTTCCAGAGTAAGTTAGTGGCTGTGTTTCCTTTCTTTGACTCCTTTGAGCAGGATCCCGTATGAAGGGAGAGGAATGGACAAAAGGGACCCAGCTGCCATGGTGCACACTGCTAACGATGCTTACCCCACAGGTTGGGACCATGTAGGAGACCCAGGTTCGAGTCTCAGTCCAACCTAAAGGCGCCGTGGTGCCTGCCTGTAACCCCAGCAGCTAAGGGAGCCTGAGGCAGGACCTTATCTTTTAAACAAAGTTTTATAAAAGAGTTCCATGGAAAACTCACTGACTGTACCAGGGTGGTAGAACTACAGTTAGCCCTGCATATCCACGGATTTGCATTGTGAATTCAGCCAACTATGGATTGAAAATACTGGAGGGGAACAAGTCAAGGGGTCAGTGGCAGTGCAGCCGTAAAATGCAACACGGTAGGACTCTGACCCACGTGGGGAGATTCTGTGTTCATTTCAGGAGACCGTGTGCCAGATACACACGTGCCCATGACCCAGGGCTGGCTAAGGCTGAGATGGATCATGGTGGTGGGTCATCGTATCAAGACCCTGTTCAGGGTACTCTCTCTCATGGAAGAAATAAAATAAACTTAACACACACACACACACATACACACACACACACACACACAGAAATAAAGGGTAATGCAAATAGGGGCCAGCAGGTGGCATGGTGATTAAGGGCACTGGACTCCCACATGACTGACCGTGGTCTGAGTCCTAGGCCTGGCAGCTTGCTTTCTCACTTTCTCTCTCTGGTCAAATTGAAATAAATAAATAAATAAATAAAGTTATATAAAATAATTATTTTAAAATGCAAATAAAAATATAAACTATATTTTACTAGGTATTGTAAGTAGTCTAGAGGTGAGTTACAGTGGGATTCGCATAGGTTGTATGCACAATCTTTAAATAAGGAATTGGAGAATCCGTGGATGTTGACATCCGTGGGGACTCGTGGGACCACTCCTCCACAGATACGGAGAGACTGGTGTACATTTACCTCCTCTTTGAAATCACAGCTAACAGAAAGCTTGGTCTTCATCACACCCATTAGTCACACAGCAGTGACAATTTAAAATGTGATCAAGAGGGCCAGCCCACGGCCTAGTCACTAAGGGAGCCAGGCAGATCCCACATGGCTGACCATACAGTTCAGATCCTAGGCCTGGAGACTGAAAAACATGCCAAACATGTGCATGTGTGCCCCAGATCCCAGCAGGACGGAGAAGGGATAGCAGTGTGACCGCGCCCCATTGAGGGGTGCCTTCTCTGAGGGGTGCCTTCTCTCAGTCTCCTTCTGGGGAGCACACATGTCCTCCGGCAGTACATGTAAAAACGCAGTGTAGTCAGAGTAAATTCTGTTTGTCACAGCTTGGATATTGAGAACAAATGCTTTTATGTATGCAAAATGTGGTGTCTCTGAACATCATGTGATATTTTATAAGAGGAGAAATGGAAGTTATTTTACCTACTCGAGATAATAGAATTGTCTAAATAAGTATCTAGGATTTGTCTTTGTAAAATATTCCTTTATGTACATATATCATTATTTTTCCTCCAGTTATTATTTTGTAAAATTTGTCTAGTAATCAGCAGTTAAAGGTTTTAAGAAGTGAACTTTACTTATTTTTTGTATTTTTTAGGAGACCCCTGTACAGTATCATCTCAGTTGGAGTTAGAAGAAGCCTTCAGGCTTTATGAGTTAAACAAGGATTCTGAACTCTTGATTCATGGTAAAGTATTAGTCATTTCTTATTCTTAGATGCTATGCCTTTTTTTTTTTAGTGACCCTATATTATTGACCATTTTAAAGCACTATCCTGATGTCATTTAAAAAAAAAAAATCTATTTTATTTATTTATTTTAACTTGACCAGAGAGGGACAGAGTTAGAGAGAGAGAGCAGGAGGGAAAGCGAGACAGCAAGCTGCTAGTTCCAGAACTCAAATTGCAGCCAGCCAGCCATGTGGGAGTCCGGCGCTTTCAACTACCGTGCCATCATGCGGCCCTAATATCATTTTCTTAATCTCTGTACATCATCTTTATTGAGTCGTTTCCTGGGTACTAGAGAAGGGAAAAATCAATCTGCTGCTCATGGTCTTGGGAAATGTATCTTTGTATGCTTTTTTGGATATTGAAGTGTGATCTCTCAGCATTTCCTAATTTGAGTTTTGCAGCAGGCTTGGGATACATTTTAAGAATTGAGAGCAGGGACAGCAGGTGATGTAGTGGTTCAGGCGCTGGACTCCCACATGGCCAACCACAGTTCGAGTCCTGGATCCAGTAGTTTAGAACTCATGCTAGGCATGTGTGTTTTCATGCATGCCCAAAATCCTGAGGAAAGTGATTGCAGTGTGGCCATCCCCTGGGGGGCTGCTTTCTCACTTTTCCTCTTATTGTCTGTCTCTCTGATGAGTGCACATGCCCTATGACAAAAACCTTAAAAACAATGATTTGAGCTCCTAGTGAATGTAAGTCATCTCCTTGTATGTGTTAATTGCTCTAGAATAAAATGCTTAGAGAAGTATTGATTGGGACCAGAAGATGGCAGATTGGTTATGTCGCTGGACTCTGAAGTAGTTGACTATGATTCAAGTCTTGGACTCTGGCTTAAAATTCACACCATGCATGTGTGTGTGTGCTCTAAATTGCTAGAGGAGACTGGAGGAGAAGGGATTGCCATGTGGCTATCCCTCCCGGGGGGGTGATTTCTTGCTCTCTGCCTCTCTGGTGAGCACACACTCCCTATAGTAAAATCCCTATAGTAAAAGTCTCTCAAAAAAAAAAAAAAGATATTGATCAATGATATTAAACGGTTTTAAGTTTTATTGCTTTTTACACTACATCACAGATCTGTTTTCAGCAGTTAGCTTGTATTTCGGCTTTTTAAAATTTTTATTTTAATTTTGTTATAGGGTATATGTGCTCACCAGAGAGACCAGAGGGTTGGGAGGGGTGACAAAGCATTTCCCTAGTGGTTAGGGGGTGATCTCGCTGCAGCCTCTGCTCCTCCTCCTCTCAGGATTTTGGGCATGCACACACACTGGGCATATTTTCAGGCCACCGTGTCTGAGACGCAAGCCTCAAGGCACACAGTTGACCATGTAGGATCCAGCGTCCTTAACCAGCACTCCGTATCAGGAGCTGTTCTTCCTGTCATCTGAGTTGTTACACTTTGTTCTTCAGTACATCACAGAATATGAAGTGTTGACCAGCTATTCATAGATGCATTATTGTTTTATATTCTACCTTATTATAAAAATGTTTTAAATTAGTATGTTTATACATTTTTTTATTTCTCACATAAATGTGTGTTTTGGGGTTTTGGCACTATTTATGGGATCAGTTTATTCCTAAGTTTAGTATATAGCTTCTAAAAACTCATGTACAGTATTTGAATACATTTTTATACCATAATTAAACGTGTTTTAGCAAATTCGTTACTACAAAAAGAATTTAAGGAAATAATATGGTCCCGACTGTTTTTTTTTTTTTTTAAGAGTTTTTGCCTTAGGGCATGTGCACTTACCAGAGGGAGGCAGAGGCAGTGGGAAGGAAAGTGAGAAATCACCCCCCCAGGGGGATAGCCATACCACAATCCCTTCTCCCCCTTTCTCCTCCCAGGATCTTGGGCTTACACGCACATGTGACTGGTGGGACTTTCAAGTCAACGGGCCCAGGATGCAAACTGCGATCGTCCATGGAGGGAGTCTAGTGCTGTAACCATTCCGCCATCTACTGGCCTCAATAATGACTTTTTTAAAGACAAAAAATAATTAGTGATGTATTTAGGGCTGGATTAGGATTGTGATCTAATGCATTGTTTATGGAAACTTTTAGTAAAATTTATTTCATATAGCATTAATAAAATGGATTCCTTCAACAAATTCCTTGACCAAAAGTTAAGTATCTTGGCTCATGCGAAGAGAGTATGAGGCTGACATTTATGTTCATTTTTTTATATTTGAATTTTAAATTTTATATAATTAGTATATTTTAAATGTGCTGTTAATTAATCGTAGTTTATTTTCTTTCAGTATTCCCTTGTGTACCAGAACGTCCTGGAATGCCCTGCCCAGGAGAAGATAGTGAGTGTTCATATACTTCATATTTTTGAAAAGAGTTATTATGGGATGGCACAAATGAAGAAAAATCAGAAAAATAGAACTTTCTTTCTTTTCAGTTTTTGCTACCTGGCACATGTGCTCACTGGGTAGAGACAGAGATAGAGAGGGAAAGTGGGAAATCACTCTCGAAGGAGGATAGCCAACCACAGTCTCTTCTCCTCCGTTCTCCTTTCAGGGTTTTTGGGCACACACGCACACATACCTGCCATTTTTTTTTTTTTTTTAGGTTTTGTTTTTATTTTTTTTTTTATCATGTTTTGACCAGAGAGAGACAGGCAGAGAGAAAAGGAGAGCGAGAAAGCAAGCCGCCAGGTCCGGGACTTGAACTGTGGTCGGCCATGTGGGAGTCCAGCACCTCAACCACCATACCACCTGCTGGCCCCATGCCTGTCGTTTTTTCAAGCCACTGGATCCAGGATTCAAAGCATGCAGTTGGCAATGTGGGATCCAGCTACCTTAACCTCCTTACCACCTGCAGGCCCGAAAATTAGAACTTTTAATTCATTTGATTTCTGAACTTTTTCAATCTAATTTATTTATATTTATGACTGTCTATAGGGTACTTCTGCAAGCTCAAATTCAGATCATTTTTAGCCACAGTTTACTTAATTCCTGTGCATATGAAAGGAAAATTAAGTAAATCTTAAGTTTTTCTAACTTAAGTCTAACTTTTTTTAGAGAGAGATTTTTGCTATGGAGCACTTGCGCCTGTTGGGGAGACACAGAGAGACCGAAAGCGAGAAATCACGCCCCAGGGGAATGGTCACGCTGAAACCCCTTCTCTTCTATTCTCCTCTTGGGCTGTTCAGCACACATGCACAGACGCCCATCATGAGTTTTAAGTTTCCAGGTTCAGGACTCGAACCGCAGTTGGCTATGTGGAAGTCCAATGACATAACCATTACACCATCTGCTGGTCCCTCTGATTTTTTTTTTTAATTACTGAGAGTACATGTGTGTACATGGTAGAACGGGAGAGAGAAGTACTCGACTGGTGGTGTCACACTGCACATCTCCCAGCCCTCCAGCCTCTCAGGATCCTGGGTGTCTGTGTGCGTGCCTGGCACGTTTTCAGGAGATTCCCTACTGGGGATTCGTACCTATAATCACCATTTGGGTTCCAGCCTTGCTGGGCACTTGTGTTAACACTGTGACAAAGCACCTGGGCCTTTTTCTGGTTTTTAATTTTGGAAATTTTCCAGCCTGCAAAGGAGTTGAAACACTGAAAACCAGGTTACCCACAGAGCCTCTGGTCAGATTTCTAGTCATTGACGTTTTTCCTGTTTGCTTCATCTCAGCACTTGTGTGTGCATCTATGCATGCATGGATATATGTAACAGACATGCTTGTTTTACTTATTTATTTTTACATTTCAGTTTTTTTTCCTCTTTATTTATGGCAGAGCACGTGTGTGCGCATGTGAGAGAGAGAAGCACCCTCTGCAGGGTCTGATCACACAGTCCTCCAGCCTGTCACGTCTTGGGCTCTTGCATGTGTGTCTGTCAGGTTTCAGTCTGGGGATTCAAACCACGGTTGCCATGTGGGATCTGTCTTTTCTTGAGTAGCATATTAGCATGCACCATAAAGTTGGCTCTGTGTTTTTTTTGTCATTGTACCATTTGACAATTAGTGTGTTTTTTTGTCATTGTACCATTTGACAATTAGTAATAGCATACTCCCACCTCTAAAGACCTCAGCATGCGTCCTTAGGAATTGTGGTGGAGATTTCTTTTGAAGGTATAAACATCTATGGTTATCACTAATTAGGTTAACCGAGCCATACTGTGATTTATCCTGATGTAATTTAAATATGCAAACTTGTGTTTGATTTTGGCTTATTGCTTTGGGCATATGGTGTGATGTACCGATTGTGGATGTTAGGCACCTCAGTTTTGTTTATGGTTTCTGCACAGATTCATGACTTTCACATATTCAGAGGAGTAGTGGTGAACGTTTTGCTTTGTAGTAAGTAAAATAGCTCTAAACTTAATTCTGTGGCTCTTCATGGTCCTTGGTGAAAGAGATAATTCAAGAATGATGGGAGTGTGTCCACAGAGGTACGCAGAGGCCGTGTGCTATACAGGGAGATGGGAATACAGGGCTAGGCAGAAAACTGAGATAGTATTGAAGAATACAAATTTGAATTCAGCTTGGATGCTTTGGTGGGGTTCCAGTGGCAGATCGATTAAACCCGTCTGAAAAATATAAATTTGAATTCAGCTTGGATGCTTTGCTGGGGTTCCAGTGGCAGATCGATTAAACCCGTGTTCTCAGCATTCACAAAGCTGTTAAGAGAAGCAGCTATCTTTTTGTCTAGAGCCAAAATTTTGAAATTCTTGCCATTATAGCCGATGTTCTTTATTTTCGACTCCCATCTCCAAATTTATTATAAGTCTGTGCCACACTTAGAACATAAAATACGATCTCCTAGCTTCTCATTATACTTCATGCTCCCAGGCCCTCTTTTATATTTACTGGTGGAGATTTTGACATCACGTCTCCTCTGGTAAATAAATGTAACTAGAGCGTGGAGGAAGATTGATGACCATTAATTTAGGCTCTTGGCCCTTTTAATTTCTAGGAAACAAAATATTTCATTTTAGGTATGTCAAGTTGTAGATCATGAAAGCTTTTGAAACTTTTTTTTAGGTTAAAGTATTACTAACAGGAACTTTCTGCTTTGGCCCTTGCTAATGACATGTAAGTACAAGTACAAGGGTCTGTGTTTAAGCTTCTACGTTACACCGTCTCAAGGGTCCTAATTCAGAGCATCACAACTGGCTTTTTTATTTTTATTTTTTTTTAAGTTTTTGATAGAGGTCATGTGTGCTTGCCAGGGATAGCCAGACAAAGAGGGAGAGGAGAAAGCACTTCCCCTAGGGAATGGGCACACTGCAGTCCCTTCTCTTTCATTTCCCCATCCTGTTAGGGTTTGGGGCATGCTGCATATGCACATCCAATGTGTTTTTCAAATTTCCAAGCCTGGGATTTGAACCACTGGCTTGGCCATGTACGATCCAGCTACTTTACACCAGGCCACATATCTGTTCCATAACTGATGTTTCTTGTCCTGATTTCTTTTTTTTTTTGGAGAGGTTTTTGCTATAGGGTGCATGTGCTCGCCAGGCAGACAGACAGAGACAGAGAGACAGAAAGCGAGAAATCACCCCCCAGGGGGGATGGCCACGCCGCAGTCCCTTCTCCTCCATTCTCCTCTCGGGATCTTGGGCACGCACGCACACGGGCCCAGCGTGAGTTTTAAGACACTGGGTTCGGGATGTGAACCGTGGTTGACTACGTGGGAGTCCAGCGACATAGCCATTACGCTTACTGCTGGTCCCCGTCCTAATTTTAAATAGTAAACCCTGTGCTATATTTGCTCTAAAATAATAGTTTAGGGACATCATGTAAATCCTTCCATTGTATTAAATATTACTGTGTGGAATGTTAATCATTGATAGACTATATATAATAGTGGTGGATTTGATCAAAATTATAAAGGTAGAGTACATTTGATCTTTTGGAAACTTTCTCTGAATGTACTTACTAACGTAAAAGAGCACTGGATGACCCCCGCCACCGTGGCATGCGTGGTAGGGGATTGCTGCACCGACTGGGGCCACATGGGAGGCCTGGGTTTGGATCCCAGACCAACCTGAACAGGCTGGGCACAGTCGTACACACTGTAATCCGAGCCTACTGGAAGTCCGGAACAGAGGACCGTGGTGACAAGACCCTGTTCAGCATCCCTAAATAGCTCACTCTTCCTCCTCCCTCCTCCTGGGTCAGACGCTAGGGCTGACACTCTGTGTGTTCTTTCTTTCTCATTAAAAAAATGGATAGGTCATTGAGGAAGAGAATATTCTTTTAGTTATAAAATATTACTTAGGGATTATTTACAAAAAGAGTAAATTGTACATTTTTATATAAAAAGAAGAGATCTAGTAGTGCACTTAACACCACTTAAACAGCAGTCGTAGAGCTGACGTTCTGACTCATGCATACCTCGTCATACAGTGCAGCAAGGAAGACACAGCATCCCGTACTATTATTTAATCATGGAGAAACAGACAGATCCAGAATGAGGAACATAAGATGAGACAGCTGTCTAAACTTTTTCTTTTAAGTCAACATTATGAAAAACAACAACAAATAGGTACGGTGAATGTTTCAGAATACATAAAAGAGACAGAAAAAATAAAGACACAACCAAATGCAATGCCTGAATCTTGATTAGATTCTGGATAGAACAAGGAAACTTTGAAAGGCACTTTGGAGACAGTTGGGGAAACTTGGATGTGAATTGTGTTCTAGGTGATGCTGAATTCATGTTAATCTTTGTATTTATCCTGCGGGGGTGTGTGCACTTGCCAGAGACAGAGCGAGGGAGAGTGAGAAAGCAGCTCCTGAGGACGGCCACGTGGCCATCCTCTTGCCTGCCCTTGCTCTCAGGACTTCAGCCGGTCTGCTCTCGGTGTTTCCCACCTCTGAGGACTTGAATTGCTCAGTTGGCCACGTGGGATCCACCCGCCTCGGCCACCACACTATCTACCGGCCCCCATGTTAGTTTTCTAAGACACAGCAATGGTTTGTGGTTATGTAGAATTAGGGGTAATGTTCCTAATCTCAGGTAATGGGTACTTAGGTGTTGAAGGGTAGTAAGTGTCACGATGTCTGTATCTTACTTCCAGATGACCAAAAAATGTGTTTTTATGCGAAGGAAGACATAGGCCAAGTGTCAGTAATTGGTAAAGCTAGGTGAAGAGTGCAGGTGTTCATGCTTTCAACTTCTCTGCAGACTTGAACTTTCTCCAAAACAGTGGACATCACCATTGCTCAGCACTCACACACCCTGCAGAGAAAGCTGGATCCCACATGGCTGAGCAGGTGTAAGTCCTGACGGGCAGCTCGAGAAGAACATGCCTGGCACATGTATGTGCATGGCCAGGATCTTGATAGAGTAGAGAACTGAGGAAAAAGGATTGTGGCTTGACCAAGCCATGTGAGATGGTGCTTTCTCTCTCTCTCACCCTCCTCCCCCACATACGTGCCCTTTGACAGTAAAATAATTTTTTTTTCCAGAAGAAAAAGCTGGGAGTAGGGCAGGCCCTGTAGCCCAGTGGTTAAGGGAGCTGAGTCCCACATGCCCTACTGTGGTTTGAATCCTGGCTTTGACAGCTTGAAAAAAAACACTAGCCATGAATGTGTATGCCCAGACTCCCAATAAGATGGGGAAAGGAGGAGAGAAGATTGCAGCACAACCATCCCTTAGGGGGGTGCTTCCTCTCTCTCTCTCCTTCTCCCTCTCTCTGTTTCTTTGTCTCTCTCTCTCTCTCTCTCTCTCTGATAACTGCACACACCCTCTCGCAATGAAAAAGAGTAGCTAAATAGCTCACTCTTCCTCCTCCCTCCTCCTGTGTCAGACGCTAGGGCTGACACTCTGTGTTCTTTCTTTCTCATTAAAAAAATGGATAGGTTATTGAGGAAGAGGATATTCTTTTAGTTATAAAATAGTACTATTACTGGGGATGGGCGCAGCAGGTGGCATGGTGGTTAAGGCTCTGGATTCCCACATGGCTAACCACAGTTCTAGTCCTAGGCCCAGGGACTTGAAAATCATGCCAGGCGCATGTGCGTATGAGCCCAGACTTCTGAGAGGAGAAGGGAGGAGAAGGGTTAGCAGCGTGGCTCTTCTCTGGGGGTGATTTCTCACTTTCTCTCTTTCACTTTTTGGTGAGTGCACACGCACTCTATGGCAAAAACCTTAAAAACAAACAAAATTGGGGCAGAATTTAAAAAGGAGAAACAATAGTATTATTGAAACATTTATACTCAATGGTTTTTATTTTCATCGTGATAAATCTATTTTTTCGCTTTTGGAATTTTAATCAATATTTTTTTCTTGCAATGTCGATCGTGAAAATAATTACAGACTTAATTACAAAGTCACTATTATTTACACATACTCTCTGTGTGTTTTAACTTTTAATCTCTCTTCAGAATCCATCTACAGAAGAGGTGCACGCCGCTGGAGAAAGCTTTATTGTGCAAATGGCCACACTTTCCAAGCCAAGCGTTTCAATAGGGTAAACTCAGTTGACTGCTGATAATTTGAGATACCTGTTTTTTTTTTTCTTTCTACTATGGAAAAAAAGGTAGTTTTATTATTATGGCTTTTGCCATAGGGCACATACACTTGCTGAAGAGACAGAGACATTGAGGGAAAGTGAGAAAGCACCCCCTGGAGGATGGCCATGCCGCAATCCCTTTTCTTCCACTCTCCTCCCAGGATTCTGGGCATGCACACTCACACATCCGGCATGAGTTTCAAGCCATCAGGTCCAGGATTTGAACTGGTTGGCCTTGTGGGAGCCTGGCATCTTAACCACCACACCACCTGCTGGCTCCTTCGTATTCCCTTTTAAAGAAGTAGGTGATAGGACCATACACTACCAGTTTGTCTGAGGCAGTATGCCTATAATTTCTTTTTTTTTAAATTTTTTTGTTTTTAATTTGCTAGGGAGTGCATGCCCTCACCCATGGGTGGGAGGGGAGAGAGAAAGAGAAGAGCGAAAGTGAAAAGGCACCCTCTAGGATAGAAGGTCATGCCACAATCCCTTCTCCAGTCTCCTCTCTGGACTTTGGGCACACGTGCACACATGCCCAGAGTGTTTTTCAAGCCACCAGGTCTGGGACTTAAACTGCGCAGTTGGCTATGTGGAATCCAGCCACCTTAACTACCACGCCATGAGCTGGTCTCCTGTAATTATTACGATCATCTGTTTTCAGAAAATGCTTCCAGGCAGGCCCCTTTGTGCAGTGGTTCAGTGCCCTGCATGTAGGGAGCCAGATTCCACCTGGCTAACTTCAGTTCAAATCCTGGTCCAGGAGTCTTGAAAATGCATGTCAGCACATGTGCGTATGTGCCCCAAATTTTGTGAAGGAAAGGAATTAATGGCGTGAGCCCACCCACCCTCTCTTGGCTCACATCCTCTCTTGGCAAGTGTGTGAGCCCTCAGGCAATTTGGAAAAAGAAAGTAGGGATTTGGTTTGACCTCTGAACAGTCTACAAAGTTTATATTTGCCTAGGAGTTTGTACATGCTTTTTTCCTGCTGTATGCTTTTCAAGTTTAATTCACCTTTGTTGTTCTTAGAAATTTTGCCAAAGGATATGTATATGTGCCCAGAGAGACAGAGACAGAAAGCAAAGGAAGTGAGAAAGCAGGGCTCATGGGTGATGGCCATGCTGCGCTTGCTTCTCCGTTTCTCCCTCCTTTTGGGATTTGGGCGTGTGTATGCACCCCCAGCGTGCTCTTCAGACTTCAGTGTCTGGGACTCAAGTCAGCCATGTGGGATCCAGCCACCTCAGCTACCACCCCAGCTGGCCCCACTTTTCTCCTTTTTTTTTTTTTTTTTTTTTTTTTGAGAGTTTTTCGCTATAGGGCGCGTGCGCTCGCCAGACAGAGAGAGACATAGAGACAGAAAGCGAGAAATCACCCCCCAGGGGGGATGGTCACGCCACAGTCCCTTCTCCTCCATTCTTCTCTCAGGATCTTGGGCACGCACGCACACGCGTGAGTTTTAAGCCACCGGGTCCAGGACGCGAACCGCGGTCGACTCTGTGGGAGTCCAGCGACATAGCCATTACGCTAACTGCTGGTTCCCTCTCCTTTTCATTACTGTACCCTAAACTTAATTCCATGAAGACTAAAAATTCTTTGATTTAAACAGATAGCAACATGATATGCAAATTTATCTGTATCTTTTTTTTTTTTTTTTTTTTTTTTTTCTAGGGGGGTAGGGAGAAGACACACATGCATAGTAACTCCTGACTGGGCCTTAGCACTGTGATCCACCCTCCACCTTCAGTCAGCCAGGATCATGGGCAAGTGTGTGCCTAGCATCAGGGATGCTCTGGATTTGAACTGAGAATCTTGTCATGTGGAATCCCCTCATAGAGTGTTGTTTTACTTCTATGCCGCCATTTGAACCCTTACTGACTCACAAGCCTGCTTGGGGCTACCAAGTGGCATAGTGGTTACCGCACTGGATTCCCACATAGTCGATCACAGTATGTGTTCCAGACCTGGAGGCTGGACACTCAGGCACATGTGTGTGCATGCCCAAAATCCGAAGAGGAGAGTGAGGGAGAAAGGATTATGGTGTGACCATCCCCAGAGGGTGACTTCTCGCTCTTTCTCTCTCTGTCTCTCCAGCAGGTGCACAAGCCCTATAGTAAAAACCTCTTTAAAAAAAAAAAAAAAAAAGCCTTTGCTGTTTATTTCTCACAGACCTTCCTAGCTTTTGAAAAATTATATATGAACCTTTTGACCAGAACCGCCATCTTCCAGTAATTAGCCAAAATGACAAGGAGAGGCACCCAATATATGTTGGGAAAGAGGAGAGGCACCTGATATATGTTCTCTAGGCCTTTTAGAAAACATGGAGTTGTTCCTTTGGCGACATATATGCAAATCTACAAGAAAGATGATATTGTAGACATTAAGGGAATGGGTACTGTTCAAAAAGGAATGCCCCGCAAAACTGGAAGAGTCTACAGTGTTACCCAGCATGCTGTTGGCATTGTTATGAACAAACAAGTTAAGGACAAGATCCTTGCCAAGAAAATGAATGTGTCTATTGAGCATATTAAGCATTCCAAGAGCAGAGATAGCTTCCTAAAACATGTGAAGGAAATTGATCAGAAAAAGGAAGCCAAAGAGAAAGGTACCTGGGTTCAACTGAAGTGCCAGCCTGCTCCACCCAGAGAAGCCACTGTGTGAGAACCAATGGAGAGGAGCCTGAGCTACTGGAACCTGTTCCCTATGAATTCATGGCTTTGATGGGTGTTAAACATAAACTAATCTGTGGTCTATAAAAATGTTTGTCTTAGTTGAGTAGAATTATGTTCCCTCCCCAAAGCTAATTTTAATTGGGCTCTAATTCATTTTGTAATATCTTTATTCACATTTAGTATTTTTTTACCTGAATGATGTTAGGTGGTTTATTATGCAACAAATAAAACTCAGTTGGTTAGAAAAAAAAAATTATATATGAAGAAGTTTTATTTTGCCGTAAACTTACAGTTAACATCATCATGAATCAAATTAATTTGAAGAAGAAAACCAGTGTAATTTCACTATATTTGCCCATTATTTTATGAGCAAACTGTTGGGACCTGCTTAGGACCTTATTTTGTTAATAAAATATTGTCCACTTGCTTTCCCAGCGTGCTCACTGTGCCATCTGCACAGACCGGATATGGGGACTCGGACGCCAGGGGTATAAGTGCATCAACTGCAAACTCCTGGTTCACAAGAAGTGCCACAAACTTGTGACGATCGAGTGCGGGCGGCATTCTTTGCCACCGGTAAGGCACCGTTGTTCCTTTTTTAAACATTTCTGTTGTCTAAAGTAGAGTGTTGGTAACAGCTGTGACAAAGGCGACCGACAGCAGGGAGTTGTTAAGGATCAGCAGCTTAAGAAAATTGCTGCCCCGCATGGGTAGGAGTACTGTAGTTTCAGTTCACATACTGTGGCCTTCAGAACTTTTGAAATAACTGTGGTAATAGTTCCTTGTAGAATATAGTTAACCTCTTTATTTGACCTGTTATGAAATGCTCTGTTCTAAATTTGGATGCAGGGAGAACAATTTAAGAGATCTGTGTTTTTCCTTCTCCTGGCTAAACGCATTAGTTTACTGGTCATGACTCCAACATGTATCCCACGCAGAGATCAGGTGCAGAGTCGGAAGTATCATGTTCGCCATTTTAAGAGAACTAAGTAAAGAGTGTTTAAAATTTGTATTTTTTACTTTTTATTTTAAGTATATATTGGATTGTCGGGAACGTCATGATGCATTTTTACATAGAAAAATATGTCGTGACTTTGCTGGCAACCTGATCATTAAAACATGTTCATTATATTGGGTCTGGCAGGTGGTGTGGTTAAGGTGCTGGACTCCCACATAGTCAGCTATAGTTCAAGTCTGGACCTGGAGGCTTGCTTTCTCACATCCCCTCTTGCTCTATTTGACTCTCTGTGGTCAGATTATAAAATAACAGTAATGAAAGTAAAATTAAGTAATTCTTTTAAAAAACAAACATGCTCATTGTAGAAAAAACTTGAAAATACAGATGAGTAAAGAAAAATATAAATAAAAATCCTTGAATTTGATCATCTAAAGGTAATTGTCATTGATAGATATCCTTACAAAACTTTTCTATGCAAATTTCTGTGTACGAACATATACATTTTTTTAATGTGGAAAAAAAATGTAAACCTACATAAGAGTAGGTGGAACAAGGTAATGTGTCCCCATGTATTGATCACCGAGTTCCTGCAGGTAACCAGCCCCTGACCAACCTTGTTTAACTCCCTCACCTTTGTGTGTTTTTTTTTAATATTTATTTATTCATTTAATTCCATTTGTTTTTTTTAATCTGAACAGAGAAAGGAAGGGAAAGTGAGGAAGCAAGTTGCAAAGTTCGGGACTCGAACCGTGGTCGGCCATGTGGGAGTCCAGTCTCTTAACCACCACGCCACCTGCTGGCCCCACCTTTGTGTTGTTTTGAAACGAATCTCAGTCATATTTCAGTGTGTACCTCTAAAAGATAGCAGCTCTTTAAAATCTAACTAAAAGCCCAGTCTTTATTTTACATTTCCATCTAGGCAGTGTTCAGAATTCCAGTTGTCTCATAAATGTTATAACTTATAGTTTCATGGATCAGGATCCAGATGAGGTCCACAGTTGCTATTGAAGTCTTTAAGATACCAAGAGTACTTTGTAGAGGATGGGGTATTTATCCAGGGAGCACATATGTTTAGTTGTGTCTGGGGTTTTTTTATATACTTTTCAACAAAGTAAGATATTTGTCTATTATTTTCTAAGCCATTTTTCTTATAGAACAATGTATTTTGGTCATCTTTCTACATTTTTCTATCCTCATTATTTTTCGAGTAATAGTTTGTTATAATACGCTTACACCATAATATATTTAAGCTGAATCTTGGAGCTGAACATTTGGGTTGTGTTTAAAATTTCTTTATAAAGAACGTCATAGTAAGTTTTCTGATAAATAAATCTTATTTCCTTAAGGATTCAGAAGTAGAATTACTAAGTTGAAAGATGCATTTCTTTGGGACCAACAGTTAGCGTAATGGCTATGTCGCTGAACTCCCATGTCGTCAACTGCGGTTTGAGTCCCAGACCCAGCGGCTTAAACTCATGCCGGGCACTTGTGAGTGCGTGCCCAAGATCCTGAGAGGAGAATGGAGGAGAGGGGATTGTGGCATGGCCCTCCCCCCATGGGGATGATTTCTTGCTTTCTGTCTCTCTGTCTCTCTCTGTCTTTCTGGCGAGCGAGCGCACGTGCCCTATGGCAAAAACCTCTCAAAAAAAAAAAAAAAAGATGCATATTTCTGGGTCTGGGACTTGAACCGCAGTCGACGACATGGGAGTCCAGCGACATAGCCATTACACCAACTGCTGGTCCCAAATTTAGATTTATCTTTCTAAGTTGTCCTCTAGAATGATTATACTGTGTATATTTATAAGACCTTCTTTGGATATTGTGGAAGTAGATTATTGCTGGTAGCTCTTTGGTTTTAGAATTATTTAGGTAGGTCATATAAGCTTAAGAATGGATTTATAGAGGAAATATCCAATCTTGATAACACAGAACACTAAAAATGACAAGCATAATTTATCCAGGTTACTAGTGATACTCTTGAGTATGCTTAGGTGTTGGAAGGGCTATCTATCCATACATACAGAGGGAACGAGGAGAGGGTTAGTGATTGTGTTGATATTTTAGGAGGTATTTCTTCTTTCCCTTTTTTTTTTTCTTTGCCACTAGCAACTTTAAGAATCTTCAGAAAAATGGAAAATCCCTGATGAGTATTTCTGGACCTCTAATGAATAACTCATATTCTAGAGGCTCCTTTTCCCGAAGATTTTAAGTGAAGCACAAAGGAAGAATAAGTCATGTTCAGAGAGAGACAAATCAGAATTTAGTTTGATTTCTAATTGATGATCTTACATTAGTTTTATTTTCTTCTGTCTTCTGTAAAATGTGACTAACATTATCTCATTCACAGGAATGTTGTATAGTTTCATAAAATAAAATTAAAATTAAATAGAGTAACATAATGTAAGTTATATTCTTTCAAATTGCACTTTTAATATGCTGTTTCCCGTTGAAATCATGTTTCTGGATGTATAGAGGTTACAGTTGGGTGAGTCTCCGTAGTTACTATGTCTTCGAAATGTCTGTAGGAACCAGCGACGCCTATGGACCAGTCGGCCCTGCACTCGGACCACGCACAGACAGGTAAGGACGGTGCTGGCCTGACCAGGGCATGTGAGCAGAACAGCACGTCAGGCTCCTGGGGTGTCTCTTTTACCCTAGCTGGAAACGTTTGTGTTTTTCTCAAATAAAAGCAGATAAGCATGTTTTGTAGTAGTAAGATTATTCACAGTATTTAATATACACTTGTGGTGTTTTAAGAAGACAACTGTGTGAACTGTAATAAATTCTTCCAGTTCTGATGCATTTCTTCGGACATCTCTTTAAATTCCACAAATTCAGTTTTTTCATAACGATAAAATATAAAGCTGGTTTTGTGGGCCATGTTGACTGTGTTCAAGTGACCCGTTTTAATTAAAAGCCTAGTTATTAGAAATAGGAATTATGGGGCCAGCCAGTGGCATAGTAGTTAAGGAGACAGGATTCCACATTGCTGACTGTACAGTTTGGGTCTGTATCCAGAGCCTTGAAAAACACACTGCCCAAAATCCCAACAGGAGAGAAACGGAGAAGGGTCTACAGGGTGACCATCCCCTGGGGGGATCTTTCACTTCCTCCTCCCACCCTCCAGTGAGCACACATGCCCTATAGCAATTTCTTTTTCTTTCTTTTTTTTTTTTTAACAAAGGAAGCAGGAATTATGTAAGAGATGTAGAGATAGAGTATAGGAAATTCCAGAAAGAGTCCGCTGTTAAATGACAAGTGTCTGGGAAATTGGGAGAGCACTGGAAGGGGGTAGGGCAGCTTGGTCTGTTCTGGCTGAATCAGGAAAGGGAAGACAAAGGAGTTCTCTGGAAGAGCAGAATATGGTCACGGAAGAAGCTGGCTCTCTGAACTGGAGGCTTTTGTTGCCCCATGTAGCTGTAAGGAATAGAAGGCACACCCTGGTCAGTTTTTTTGTTTTTCTTTTTAAACTTTATTCATTTATTTCTTCTATGAGAGAAAGAATATGAATGCACCCTCAGTTCATTTTTGATGCCATAACCTACCCACAGTCCCAGCCAACCTCAGGTAATGGGCATACACTTGCCCAGAGTACTCGGAAGCCTCCAGATACGAACCCAGAGCTCTGCCATGTGGGCCTTCCTCTTGTAGAGCATTGCATTTTTACCGCCGTATCGCTGTCGGGCGCCCCGTGGTCAGTTCTTTACTTGACCTACGTGGTGGTCAGAACATACTGAGTAAGAAGGAAGCAAAGAGTGAGACGATGGGCCTTGTATGGGCCTCGGGTATACCGTTCTCCTCTCGGGATCTTGGGCACGCAGGCACACGCGCTTGGTGTGAACTTAAGCCACCGGGTCTGGGACTCAAACCACGGTTAACTACATGGGAGTCCAGCGACATAGCCATTATGCCAACTCTTGGTCCCTGGAGTCACCTTTATAAAGGGAATTGTTGGATTAATTTGTAAAGAAAATAAATGGCAAAAAATAGTTGTTAAAAGTGGTATTTGGGGGAACCAGCAGTTAGCGTAATGGCTATGTCGTTGGACTCCCACGTAGTCGACTGCGGTTCGCATCCCGGACCTGGTGGCTTAAAACTCACGCCGGGCGCGTGTGCGTGCATGCCCAAGATCCTGAGAGGAGAATGGAGGAGAAGGGATTGCGGCGTGACCATCCCCCCTGGGGGGTTGATTTCTCGCTTTCTGTCTCTATGTCTCTCTCTGTCTGTCTGGCAAGCGCATGCGCCCTATAGCAAAAATCTCTCCAAAAAAAAAATAAAAAGTGGTATTTGGCTACCAGATTGGTGCTTGTTTTCTTTATCTTCACTAAAGAATAGTATTTAACTTATATTTATGTACAATTTCTTATTAGTAGGATAATTATTTAATTTTAAATACGAAAACTTAGTAGCAGAAACTAAAAAAGGTCAAGGGAACTATTTCATTAATGGATATTATGTTTTTCCTTTTTTTTTCCTTGATATTTGTCTTTGGGTTTGAAGTAATTCCATATAATCCTTCGAGTCATGAGAGCTTGGACCAAGTTGGTGAAGAAAAGGAGGTAAGATAGTTTGTCTTTTTTCTTTTTTTAATTATTTTTAATTTTATTTATTCATTTACTTATTTCATTTTGACCAGAGAGAGAGAGAGAGAAAGTGAGAAAGCAAGCCACCAGGTCCAGGACGCGAACCATAGTTGGCCATATGGGAATGTCCAGCACCTTAACCACCACACCACTGCTACTCCCCGATAGTTTGTCTTACGTACATTAAGTCTTTAGCTTTTCAGCTAGGACTTAACTTAAAAATATATGCATTGACCTTGTTTTTCCCTTGGTCGGTTACCTTTTAGAAAAAAATAACTTTATTATGGAAGATTTCAAACATAAATAAAAATAGAATAGTATAACAAAGCCACTGTGTACATTACCCAGTTAATATAATTATCAAGAGCCACAAAACATGGCCAATCCTATTTTGTCTGTCCACTTCTCTCTCTCTTGATTATTTTGAAGTGAATCTATTTGTCATCTATTTAATCACAACGACCTGTTTTAGTCAACATCTTGGTTCATCTTTTGCTCTTTTTTCTGAATTTTAAGTGTGTATATTTTTATGTTGCCACGGTAGTTAACACTTCCACTCTTTTCTGCAGTGGTAAGCAAATAGTCCATATTCTGTGCATAGTTAATTCAGTGAGCCAGCCAGAGAAGGAATTGATAAACAATGAATCCTCCTCATCTGGTACCGTGAATTGCTAACACAGCCTTGTATTTCGTCCTTGATTCTTTTATAGCTTTTTGCTCTTTTTGGAGTTTCTCATTGACATCATCAACACCATCATCATTATTATTACTATTTTTGTTTGATTGTTATCAAAGACTTATGTGCCTTTATCATCAAGATTTATTGTACACTTTTAAATTAAAAAATAATGTATATGCAGAAAAGTGTGCACATCATGTGTACACAGTTAGATGAAGTTTCCCAGAGTGAACGCTAGGTAATGACCACTCGGGTCAAGAAACGGGATCTGCCAAGGCTCCTGAAGCCCATCTTGCGCCTCTTCTAGGCATTAACACACCCTTTACCCCCAGGTCGACACTGTCTTGACACTGCAAATTAGTTTTGCCATTTTCCCCCATACTTTGTATAAAGGGACTCATACAGTGTGAATTCTTTTGTATATGGCTTCTTTTGCTCAAAATTTTGTTTGTGAGATTCAGCCATGTTTCATTTAGGATATTTCATTGATTTGCCTGTTTTAATTTATCTGTACTACTGTTGATACTGTTGATTTGACTGCTGCTGTGAAGATTCTTGTAAATCATGGTGTGGTACACTTTTATAAGCATTTCTGCTAGGTATATAGCTTGTAGTGGAATTGCTGAGTCATGTGTGCTCAACTTTAATAGATAAATGACAGGACCAGCATATAGCGTGTTGGTTGCGTCACTGGACTCCCACATGACTGACTACAGTTTGAGTCCCGGAGCTGGAGGCTTGAAATTCACAGGGAGTGTGTGTGCTTATGTGCCTAAGATCCCGAGAGGAGAATGGAGAAGGGATTGCTGCATGGCCATCTCCCCTGGTGAGTGACTTCTCGCTTTCTGTCTCTCTGGCAAGCACATGCACCCAATAGCAAAATATCTCTCTCTCTCAAAAAAAAAAATAGACAATGACAAACAGTTCTTGAAAGTGCTCACATCAATTCATGCTCTTACCAGTAATATATGAGAGCTCCACTTGCTCCATATTCTTGCCTACACTTCGTAGAGTCAGCCTTTTACATTTTAGCCAATCTATTGAATGTGTAGTGGTATTTTATTATGGTTTTTTAATTTGCATTTCTTTGGTGAACACCTTTTCATATGTTTATTGGCCATTTGAATATCATCTTTTGTGAAATGTCTTTTTCTGTCTCTTTTGCCCATTTTGGGTTTGTTTTATATAATTATTTAATTTTACTTTATATATTTTTATTTTAATTTTGACCACAGAGAGAGAGAGAGAGAAAGAGAGAGAGAAGGGGGTGGGCAGTGAGAAAGCAATCCACCAGGTCCGGGACTCAAATCACGGTCGGCCATGTGCAAGTCCAGCATCTCAACCACACCACCTGCCGGTCCCCCAACTTTTCTTTTCTTTTTTTAATTGCCGGAGAGCACTTACACTTGCCAGGGAGTGGGGTAGGAAGAGAGCACCTCTGAGTGAGGCATAGCCATGCTTCAGTCCCCTCTCTTTTACTTCCAGTTAAGATTTGGGGGCACACATGTACATGGGTCTGGTGTTTTCAAGCTACCAGGACCAGAGTTTGAACTGTGGTCAGCCATGTGAGATATTCCCTACCCACTAGGCAAAAGGCCAGCCCTTACCCAGTTTTTAAAGGGATAGTGGTCTGCCTTTGTCTTACTGATTTATAGAAGTTCTTTGTATATACTTGACATCAGCCCTTTGTTGAGTATATGTATATATATTCTTACATTATGATTTTTTCACTCTTAATGATGTCTTTTGATAAACAGGTATTCTAAATTTTTGTTTTTAATCATTGAATGACTTTTATTTTAAAAAGAGAGGAAAAAACTAACATTTATTGATAGCCCACTAGACTTTCATATTCAATTTCTCACCCATAGATTCACCTAACCGCAGATCGAAAATATTCTTTAAAAAATTATTTTTGTCTATGTCAAACATTTATGGGCTTCTTTTTCTTGTCATTATTCCCTAAATAATACAGTATAACAACTGTTAATCTTTCCATAGCATTTGCATGTATTAAATAGTATTATTCATAATCTTGAGTGGATTTAAATTATACTGGAGGATGTGTGTAGATTATATGCAGATACTGTGGCATTTTACTTAAAGGACTTAGAATCTGCAGATTTGGGTATCCTTGGGGTTCCTGGATCCTGTCGCCCTCAAAATGATTCTGTTTCCTTTAATGAGAGCCAGCTAGTGATAAATTTGCTCAGTTTTTGTTTGTCTGAAAATGTTTATTTCACTTTCATTTTGCGGGCTACTTTTGTAGGATGCAGAATTCTAAGTCAGTTATTTCTTAGGTCCCTTGAAGGTAACTTCCCCTATTCTTTGGCTCCTGTCACATCATTCAGTCTTGCTGTGTGCTGTGCTTGCTTTTGTTCCATTGGATTCTCTTTTATACTTCCCAGTTAACCATATTTAAAGTCTGCACATTGAATTCATTTCTTTCCAGTCTTTTCTTTCTTAACCTTCCCTAATCTGTTGGTTTTTTGCCCCTCCTTTTAAAATTTGTGTTAGCAAATCAAATGATTTCTAAATTTTCATGTCTGAACATTGCGCTGAATTGTCATCTTTACATTTTGTGCTAATGGTTTTTATCTTTCTGAAAATTTGCTCTTTGCTTTTCTTGATACTCTTCACTTTTTGATAATTCATACTATATTCTCATGGGTCTATTTATTGTTTACTTACTGACGATTTGGCAGGTACCTTATAAAAGATTATTAGTTTTTTCTCTAAGTTGCCAAAAGCTTAAGTGTCTGGTTGTGAATAAATTATTACACTAATTTTGCCATCCCAGTAGGCCTTGGTATTCTTTATTTTCCAGTAGCTGAACTGCATTATGCGTGTTTTCTGCATAGAATACAAAAATCCCTTTGCGGGTATCCTCACTAGCTCCGATTTCATATAGTAAGTTTCCTGCAGCCTCCTTCATCTTGATGTCTCATTGTAACTTGTAAATTCAAGATGAGAAACCACACTGTCATCTTGAATAACGCTGTTGACCCTATTCTGTCCCACACTTCGTTTCCCTGTCGGTGTTGCCTCCGGTCTCCCAGTCACCAAAGTCAGGGTCTTTTACTCACGCCTCTTCGTTTTCCCCTTAACGCACAGGGCGTCAGGTACTTCAGACATCCTTTACTACTTTTCAGACATCACCCTCTCTCTGTCCCTTACCACCCGTCTTACCTAAACTCATGAACCTACTTTACTTCTTAGATTTATTTCACATGACTTAGAATGATGTAAGGAAAGAATTAACTTAATATTTTAAATGTTTGGTTAAGAAAACTTAGATGTTAATTAACTTAATAAACTTAAATGTTTTGTAAAGAAAACATTTTAAAGATCATGTTGGATATAGCTTGATGATGGAAACACAACGCACTGTGCAGACTTCTTCCTGGTATACCTGGAGTAACTGATATGTGTGATCTCAACAGGCAATGAACACTAGGGAGAGCGGGAAAGCTTCGTCCAGTCTAGGTCTTCAGGATTTTGATTTGCTCCGGGTAATAGGAAGAGGAAGTTATGCCAAAGTACTGTTGGTTCGATTAAAAAAAACAGATCGTATTTATGCAATGAAAGTTGTGAAAAAAGAGCTCGTCAATGATGATGAGGTAAGCACAACGATGCGGTCTTGCTTATAAACTACTAAACTGTATGAAAGTGTCATTTCAGAGAAGACGTCAATGTTTGTGCTTTTTGTTTGTTTACTTTCTAAATATGTTTCAGATTATATAAGAGATAGTTAAGGTAATCTGATTGTTACTAGATTTTTTTTTTTCTTTGAGAGAGAGAAAGAGAGAGGGAAATACTGCAGAGGAGGGAGATAAGTATTTTTGACAGGGTCTCGCTGTTGTGTTCCGCTGCACCGACCTGACCAGAGTGATTGGGGAGTTGAACCTGGATCTCTCCTAGGGCCCCAGCCTGGCTCTGTGGCTCCGTGGTGTCTTACTGTTTGTACCACTGTGGTTGGACCTGTCATTAGATGATTAAAAACAAAAACACTACCATCAGGAGCGCACCTGAGCTTTGTAACAGTGTTTTAGTTTCCTTCATAATATTAGAAGATTTACTAATGCTATTTTTCTTTTCATATGTAAATCGCATAATGACTATCATTGGTTTTGATATCTAGCCTAGTTAGTTGACACTTCATTTTGTAACAGTTGAATGTTAAGAACAAGTATGGCATGAGTTGTGATGAGATCATTTCAGCATGCCACATTTCTCCCGTGTTTGTAAAACAGGATATTGATTGGGTACAGACAGAGAAGCACGTTTTCGAGCAGGCATCCAATCATCCTTTCCTCGTTGGGCTGCATTCTTGCTTTCAGACGGAAAGCAGGTAAGATCAAAGATAATGGAACTGGGCTTCAGACATTTTCTCCAGGAGAAACCTGCTATAACTATGGTAGGAGTTACAGAGACGGACACAGCACTGTCGTGGTGCAGCTTCGTGGTACTCATACTCGGTAATATCAGTGTGACACTGGATCAGCTTTAGGGAATGACCTGCTTTAGGCAGTAAAAGAAATAACCATAATCGTGTTAGTAGAAATTCAGCCTTTTTAACATCCTCAGGATTCTAGAGTTTCCTATCTATTTTTTTAAAGAGAGATGAAATAACCGGGTCATAATTGTGATAGTAGAAATTCAGCCTTTTTAACATCCTCAGGATTCTACAGTTTCCTATCTTTATTTTTTTAAAGAGAGATTTTTACTGTAGACGCATGCACTCACTGGGGAGAGAGACAGAAAGCGAGCAATCACCCCCCCAGGGCGGATGGGCACCCCACAATCTCTTCTCCGTTCTCCTCCGGATTTTGGGCATGCACACACATGCATCCAGCATGATTTTCAAGCCACCAGGTCTGGGACTTGAATTACAGTCAGCCAAGTGGGAGTCCAGTGCCTTAACCACGATGTCACTTGCTGGCCCCATTTCCTAGAATTTAACTAGGAGAAAAGTTTTAACTTTGTCTTCAGTGGTAGTCAAAAATGACTTACCTAGCAAATGCTAAAGTCGGGGTGGGAGTGAATACTCTGGGTCGCAAGTGGTACTGCCGAAGGAGAAGGGGCAAGTTCCAGGACAGTGACCGCACTTGCTTACTCCTGTCTTGGCATCTTTTTAAAGGCTAAATCATAAAGAATGCCCTCTGTGTAGCGTTATTTTGGATCTTGGGTTAACGGTTTTGTGCTGTGTGTCTCCTGTGTTTTAGGTTGTTCTTCGTTATAGAATATGTAAATGGAGGAGATCTAATGTTTCATATGCAGCGGCAAAGGAAACTTCCTGAAGAACATGCCAGGTAAGTTTTTCGTTTACTGTCTGTGTTGGATTTTATTGTAGAGTTGCTTAACTTTTTATGTACAGAGGTTGAGAACATTAGGCAAATAATTTTTTTAAAGAATTATTTCATTTTTTATTTATTATTACTATTTAATTTTGCTGTAGGGCACATGGCACTCACCAGGTTGGGCAGGGGCAGGGAGTGAGAAAACAAACCGTCAGATCCAGGACTCAAACCATGGTTGGCCATGAAGGAGTCCAGCGCCCTTAACCACCATGCCACCTGCCAGCCCCCGTATGTGTAATTATTAAGTGGAAAACAAAGGCTAGACATTTCATGTTTAAAAAATAGCTTATTTGGTGGGACCAGCAGGTCACGTAATGGTTATATCACTGAACTCCCATGTAGTCAACTGTGGCTCGAGTCCCAGACCCTGTGACTTAAAGCTCATACTGGGCATGTGTGTGAGGAGAAGGGAGAGGAGAATGGAGGAGAAGATTGCAGTGTGGCCAACCCTTCCCTCTGGGGCTGGCTTCTTGCTTTTTGTCTTTGTCTGTCTCTGTCTCTCCAGCAAGCGCACACACCCTATAGCAAAAATCTCTCTTAAAAAAAAAAAAGCTAACTTAGGCCACAGGTGGCGTAGTGGTTAAGGCGCTAGATTCCCATGTAGCAGACCACACTTCGAGTCCCAGACCCAGTAGCTTGAAAATCACACTGGGCAAGTGTGCATATGTGCCTAAATCCCGAGAGAATGAAGGAGAAGGGATTACAGTTTGGCCATTCCCCCTGGGGATGATTTCTCACATTCCCTCTCTCGTCCCTCTCTCCCATCTCTGGCAAGCATATGCATCCTGTGACAAAAACCTAGAAGAAAAAGCTTAATCCAAATCTTGCTAGTTCTTTTTGTTTTGTTTTGTTTTAAAGAATTATTTTATTTAACTTTATTTATTTTCTTTAAATTATTTATTTTTTTTTATTTATTCATTAATTTATTTTGATTTGACCAGAGAGAGAGAGAGAAAGTGAGAAAGGAAGCCACCAGGTCTGGGATTCAAACTGTGCTTGGCCATGTGGGAGTGTACAGCGCCTTAACCACCACGCCACCTGCTGGTCCCCAATCTTGCTAGTTCTTGCCAAAAAGAGATAATATCCTTTAATGTGGAAGTATAAGTTGTACTCACCTGATTATTAACTACTGTTGTTACGTTTACTATTTATTTGTGTTGTATTTTTGGCTTTTTGTTTTTGTTTTATTTTTTCTTTTTGGGGTTTTTTTTTGAGAGGTTTTTGCTATAGGGCATGTGCACTTGCCAGAAAGACAGAGACACAAAGTGAGAAATCACCCCCCAGGGGGATGGCCATGCTGCAATCCCTTCTCTTCCATTCTCTTCTCGGGATCTTGGGCACGCACGCACACACACCCAGTGTGAGTTTAAGCCACTGGGTCCAGGACTCAAACTGCAGTCGACTACAAGGGAGTCCAATGACATAGCCATTATGCCAACTGCTGGTCCCTCATTGTGTATTAAGGCTTAACCAGATGATCTCGCTTTATGGCAAAGACACAGATGGTATTTTAAATCGTGAACACACTGTTCGTTTCTTTTTTGTTCAGTTAGACTTGGGGAAACTAGTCTTGTTTTTTACTTTATTAAGGTGCCAATCCTGGTGGTGGTTTTTGTTTATTTGTTTTTTTTTTTTTTTTTTTTTTTGGGGGTTTTTTCCTTTGGGGGGGGGTCGT